ACATTCCTACATAGGCCTCCCCCAATGATTTCCATTAATCATTCAGCACCTTCCTGCTGCCTTTATGAGGTCATCGGTCCAGTCTATTGCTGTCTACGAATCGTATGACGTCTTGGGATGTGCAAAGTGCGGAGAAAAGGCAGCAGAAGAGGCGGCAAGTCTTGAGTCCGCCCGACACATCTCCGCTGCGCTCCGCTCCGCTTGATCCATTTCATTCCAGAGAACCCACAAGGTGGACCGACGACATCAAAAAGGTAGCAGGGAAGCGCTGGACGCGTGGACGCAGCCCGCTACCAATCGATCAACATGGAAAACGTCGGGGAAGGTGTATGTTCAGCAGTGGACGTTCTATGGCTAAGATGATGATGATGATGATGATGATGATGATGATGATGACTTCCGTTCTTATTTTTGTTACTACCTAAATAAGTTCTGTTTCTGGGGAGATGTCCGCAGAGTGAAGACTGTGTATCAGGCCAAAATCCATACGGACGAATTCGTCGGCAGATTTTATTCATCCATAGGTATAACGATAAGACATTTCAATGTATTCACGCCCGTATTCACAAACATTACTATGAGGTCTCACAGAGCGCGTGGACGCTCAGGGTGACACACGAATCAATCACAGATCTCTATTCAACGCTGTGCGTTCGATTTGCTGTGTCACTTAAGCAAGCATCATTTGTGAATACGGGCGTCATTCAGTGTATCATATCAGTAGGTATTGCATGATCTCATAGATTGATGCCAGTTTAATTGGATTTATTAGAAGTACGTTATTTGCTGCTCTAAGCGACTTAACTCGTCCGTCCAAACGCGCCCCTTATGTAAATTACAGAATAACTTTTGTTCGTGACCGGCCCGCCATTACCGCCCTAACAGCTGGGTAAACCATTATCTTGCATTATTACTCTGTGACACAACGTCAACATGCTTTAAAACCTACAATTTTAAATTGCCTACAAGACATCTTTAAGAATTATAAACCTACTAGCAGCTGCCTGTGACTTCATACGCGTGGATCCCGTTTTACGCGATTCCCCTTAGGGTTGAATTTTGCAAAATCCCATCTTAGTGAGCACCTACGTTCTAAAAGGAACCCCCATGTAAAATTTGAGACTCCTAGCACTTGTATTTTCTGAGATTTCGTGATGAGTGAGTCAGTCAATCACCTTTCGCTTTTATAGGTATTCGCTGGGTGCGAAGTACTAGGTGGGGGTAACATAATCGATCGCAGCGCTCATGGTGGTCAAAAGTAGAAATAATGTAAGCTCTGTCATCAGATGTATCTGTCAATGGCAAAGCGATTCTACATAATACATTTTAATATCATTAATTAATCGCATGAAAAGGGTCCTACTGGGAACTTAAATAAAAGAGTGGACTGTTTTTCGATAGGGCTGGTTTAATAGCCGTTTACAATTTGGAAATAACTATACAATATAATAATATAACATATTTTAGACATCTAATTTCTCTAATTCTTTATAAATAGTAAAAAGCACTTCCAACCAGTGTAGTAGGTTAATTATTAATGGATTCAATATTAAAGATTTTCTATTACAGAAATGGTTTAGTAACAGACGTGTAACGACATCTATCGGCGTTAGATTGCAGATAGTTAGTACATTAGACGGTACATAGATGGCGATACGCGTATCAAATGTGAGATACGTTTGTGAATTCTGTAGGCATTTTAAGCAATGATTTTATTTAATTAGAAAATTACACGTGTTCAAGAGTTCAATACACATTTCCTTTTAATTTATAACCTGTAGGTAATTAAATGTTAATTATCTAGTTTAATTACCCTCTTGCTAGCAATTTAAATACAATATGAGTTACCTTTTAGTCTACAATTATTATAATAATATCGGTTGATCGGTCATATAATATAAAATGTATTAAACTACAATTAAAACCAGGTTTTAAAGTGATGTAAGATCAATTTTGTTTTTTAAAAGACTCGAAGAAGAAACATTTGTAACAATATACAAATAGGAAAACCTATAAAAAGTTCTAAATCGGGAATCGAAGTCTAGACCTTCATACTGCCATCTATAGTCGAAAAGGTGCCATTTGTCGGTGCAAAATGCCTTTATCGGGGAGGGTGGGGATGGGGGTAAATTATTGTCCTCATCGGGATTGGGTCAAATGCCGAACGCTCTTTCATGCGATGCGTGGGGATGTGACAACGCTTTTAAAAATGTCGATATCGACATAGTTGTTTAACAAAGATGACAGAGAAAAAATGAAACCATAACGAGCGTCTAAGATCTGCAGAAAAAGAAAATGCGTAGTCTTTTCCTAGAGTCCTTGTTCGTTAGTTTTGAAGATCAGTATTCTGCATCGTTTCCTTAGATGACCAACTAACTCATCTAGTCATCGTATAACTCGTACGTATGGAAGTATTATTGTGGGCAATTTTTGATGCAATGCCAGCAAATAATAAAAATTACACATCCCATAATAAGTTATGTGGCAGAAGTCTGGAAGAATAATTAGGATAAATATTAAGTTTAGTTTTACCAGACATTCATGTTGTGTTTCAGTGGATTATGAAGAATTCAGTTATTGATAACACCATTATATCGATAGGTTCTCACGATAATCCGAACATCACTAGTTCAGACAACATAGTTAATCGACTGCGCTGCAACCATTTTGCCACTATTTTTTAGCTGTGACGAAATGTAGAGTCATGATCGCAGATTTTTTACTGCTGCTTTTTGTTTTTAAAATGGCCCTTTATTTTCAGTGCTACGGTTTCAGGAATTTTCGATAAAATAACGCCGATTAATTTAATATAAACACACAAAATGCAGCTGGTGGCAATTACTGAAGTTATTTATTTATAATTATGATTATTATTACATTGAAATGCTATTGCATTTTGGAAATCATTGGGGGACGACCTATGTTTAGCAGTGGATGGAAATGATGATGTTGATGAATTGGCAATGGTAGGTTTTCATATAAGGTCGTCATAAAATTCAAATTTCGACGCAGAAAACTTTTACCACGTTTCACGCTAAAGCGTGAGTAAGAGTAAACTCTTAGGTCTTCTTGCTATATGTCCCCTGTCCCATTAGGCATTGTTTCATCATCATCATCATATCAGCCATAGGACGTCCACTGCTGAACATAGGCCTCCCCCAATGCTTTCCATGTTACCCGGTTGGTAGCGGCCTGCGTCCAGCGCTTTCCTGCTACCTTTATGATGTCGTCGGTCCACCTTGTGGGTGGACGTCCCACGCTGCGTTTTCCGGTACGCGGCCTCCACTCCAGAACCTTGCTGCCCCATCGGCCGTTAGTTCTGCGTACTATGTGCCCTGCCCATTGCCACTTCAGGCTTACTAATCCGTCGGGCTATGTCAGCGACTTTAGTTTGTTTACGGATCTCCTCATTTCTGATTCGATCTCGTAAAGAATCACCGAGCATAGCCCTCTCCATAGCACGCTGTGCAACTTTGAACTTCTGTATAAGGCCTATAATAAGAGGCCACGTTTCAGAACCATAAGTCTGGTCATACTGGTAACACACATTGGTTGTACACTTAGGCATTGTTTACCCTGATCAGATTACGACAAATTATAAATTACTGTATTATTTATCACAATAATATTATTATCAGCAAAAGTTTAATTAGTTATTTGCGTAAACATCATTAAGCTCCGGTACCAGTGGCAATTACATTAACACCGAAAATGGATGAAATTAAAAATTTCAAAGCGCCCGTTGCCACTGAGGTGGGAGTAATTAATCAATATTATGATACTGGCTTTTAAAATTCACATTACATAGCATAATCAGATGCAAATTACTAACTAAGCTAGTTTAGTTTAAACCGCAATACAATTTACTCTAACGCTCGTATTCACAAACGATGCTTGCTTAAGTAAAGCAGCCAATGGAACGCACAGCGTTTAAATATTATAGCCACGATAGCCCAACGGTGAAGTGGTCGGACTGGCCGACTCGTGATCCGAGGAACGCGGGTTCGAATCTCACCGCCGCTCGACTATTGTGGTGAGCCCACTCGTAACACAAGCTTAATTAGCTTAACACGAGAGGCTAATGGGACTATTAGTAATTTGTGCAATACAAATTGCTAATAATCTTTTTATATTAAAAAAATAGATTGGTTCGTGTCCAAGGGCACTGTGAGACCTCATAGTAATGTTTGTGAATGCGGGCGTAATTCTGCAGGGGGACATATTCAGTTAAATATTTTAAATGAGCTAGCTATATGACCCGTTTTTAGATCAAAAATAATTTAGGTAGTTATCTAATATTGTTTTACAAAACCAATTAACAAAATGAGATCATCGTATAAAATGTAATCCCCTAGTAACCTTTTCAAGTTTTATTACTACAAATGATGCTAGCTCACATCAGAAGGAAACGGGACTTCTCACACTCAAGAGTCATATTTTGTCATCACTCATCATTGCGTCATTTGACTGCGAATTGCAACGATCCTACGAAATAAAGAATACATAAAAATTACATACTACATAAATATTTACACGTCATATCACGTGTACAATAGATAACAACAAATATACATACCAAATTCCTTGTGGTCATAAATGTCCGAATATCGGTAAATTATTTGAACTAAAGCTTGTCGTGCACTAAAACTTACCCGATTGCAGGTAAAACTATTTTGATTAAAACGGTTAATTCAATACTCAATTATTTATTGCATCCGTAATGTTGCGTAGGTGGTATGTATGGTTTTATAAGATACAATTATGGACCCTGTCGGGCACAGCATTCTTATTTCTATTTATGACGAAATGATGATTTGAATTGATTTGAAATATCTCTTTCAAGGTTTCCATTCCTCGAAAGAGAAATAGGATTACTTTACAAAACGATATCTTTTCTGTAAAGATTATTTTTTCGAGGAACGTGTAGGGGTTTCAATTCTAAATTAATATTTAATAACTTTAGAGTCAAATCAACATCATAAAGTCAGGCAGCCGTTTCTTCTGAATAGACTGTTTATTTTCTGTAACCAAGAATAAAGTAAAATAATAAACCTTTTATCCACCCATTAACTTCACTGTACGGCTCTCCTAACATCCCACACGTGTATACCTATTTATAAATGCCCAACATTCTACATTAATTATGTACTAAACGTTCAATTTTCAACAATGTTGATTCCAATAATTTTGCTTTCTTTTACCCAATTAATACATAGCAAAGACCTGATATCCTTGTACGCAGATGTGTTTAAGGACCGGGAGTTCTTTACCAGGACTTTTCCATGGATTATTGACAATATTGGTGGAGAGATACAGATAGACTACTATCTGCTGGGCAGTGGCAAATACTCCGTTCCTCAAATGTGCACTTTAGAACAGTTGAGAGATAATCCGTTTTTGCAGGCGCAGTACTTGAAATGTGAAGCTGAAGGTATGTAACTATCCTGGATCCGCCTTTGTAGTCTAGTTCAGAAACAGAGGTCCAGAGTTCGATTCCCAGTGGGGGCAGTTTTCTGTTCGGTTTGGTTGGTGGTAGAGCTTGTTTTAAATCCGCCTCCTAACCACCAACTTACCTAAGTTTGTCGCCACAACAACAATGTTGACAACATTGTTGTGTTACAGCAGTTGGTTATGAGATACGGGACTATTCCCACCTCTCGTCCCTGCCGCTGCAACTCCTGTGTAGCCAGGGTCAACAGATTGACAGCCAATAAAAACTCAAACATTTGTTGATAAGTACTGATAAGACCATTTTCTCCGTGGTTGAGGGTTCCAGGTGAAGCTCTCTTCTACTTTGATGTGATCATCACTTTCCATCAGGTGAGATGCAGGCCAAGAGCATAGTCTCTTACAAAAAATGTGACAAGCTGCTTTTGCTTCTAACAAGCAAAACTGCGGCATCTATAAATGCAACTATAAGTTTGATATCTATTTCAGATAAACCCAGTGCCTACTGCCTCTGCGAAAGTGGACTGGACCCTGAAGAATACAAGGAATGCGTGAGACACCGAGCGAATTTTGCCTCTGAATCAGCTCATAGATTCTCCATCCTAAACCTTGACGTCACTCCCATCATAGAACTGTCTCCAAGAAGCACTGTGTTCCAAGTGTCAGACACATGGTATTTGAAGAAGATTTGCACCATTTTTGGCGATTATCCACCGTTGGGGTGTGTGAAACCATTCGCTTGTAATGGAACGGAGGAATTCAGGACGAGAAATGGGCTAGCGCAGTTTGATAGAGAATGTAAGTATTTCTATTTAGTACTAGCTGACCCGGCGAACTTCGTACCGCCTTAGCGTAGAGATTTTCTTAATATTTTTTTCCGTAAGAACCATCCTTGGACTTCCACAAACATTTAAAAAAAAGAATTATCGAAATCGGTTCAGCCGTTCACACGTGATGCCGTGACAACGCGAAACGGGTTTCATTTTTATATATATAGATATTGTATTTGTTGGTAGGCTGATGATGATGCTGCTTATAATAATGATATTAATTTTTGTAGTAGTGAAGTTGTGGTGAAGACTATAAAGACAAAATAATTATTAAAATAGGTATGCACATGTTTAAAATCGCTTTTTTATCTTTGGCAGGTGTATTACCAGAAATTCACGCAGTCACTACCACCACGACACAGCCATCCTATACTCGTAGATAGATGATAAGTAGCTCTGCTCTCTGCCTTAGTTAAAAACAACTAAAGAGGATTTATTCTCTTATATGTATTAAAAGTTATGTGTTTTGAAACTTATAGGTATTTCTCAATATATTTTATATAAAATATTGAAAAAAAAACTGTGTTTTTTCTTCTGTCTGTCCGAGAGACGACCTTATTAAGGTAGCAGGAAGGCGCGGGATGCAGGCCGCTACCAATCGGGCGATGTGGCAATCATTGGCGGAGGCCTATGTTCAGCAGTGCAGCAAGTGGACGTCCGGTGGTTGAAGTAATTGAAATAAATAATTTGATTTGATTTAAAATGATGATGATGAGGAAACTATAGATAGTCTTGCTTCTGCAGTGGAGACTGAATGATCTGATGATGATAATGATCATCGAATTAATCTACATGAGTGGTCTCCTCACGCCACGTAGCACGATATCTGTCACCCTCGCCATCGAATAAAACTCAAATTAGCACAGCCTATCTAGTAGTTTAGTAGTTACACATATGTACATAGTCTGTTGGCTCTAAATTCAAAGAATCGGGACGCATCGAGCATTGTCAGCTGCAGTGTTAACTGTAGGTATTGCTGTGACGTGACATACATGATGATGATGATAATGATAATATGAAACTATAGAGGGACTTGCTCCTGCAGTGGTCACTGAATGACATGATGATGATCATCGAATTATTATACATGAGTATTCTCCCGTGGTTTCCATTCGGCACAATATCTGTCACTCTCGCCATCGAATAAAACTCAAATTAGCACAGTCTATCTAGTAGTTTAGTAGTTACACATACATAGTCTGTTGGCTCTAACTTCAAAGAATCGGGACGCATTGAGCATTGTCAGCTGCAGTGTTAACTGTAGGTACTGCTGTGACGTGCGCTGCGGGCGACGGCCGCCGGATTTAATGCATGGAGACCATGCGTCAGATCGTGTAGAGGGGATAACACCTCCTTTGGGATCTATGTTTATGATGTAAGTAAGCACTTTTATACCAACATGATGCTTTAGTACCGGAAAATGCAGCGTTGGATGTCCACCTACAAGGTGGACTGACGACCTTTTAAAAGTAGCAAGAAGTCGTTAAACGCAGGCCGTTACCATCATTGGGGGAGGCCTATGTTCAGCAGTGGACGTCCTGTGGCCGCAATGATGATGATGATAATGATAATATGAAACTATAGAGGGACTTGCTCCTGCAGTGGTCACTGAATGACATGATGATGATCATCGAATTATTATACATGAGTGTTCTCCCGTGGTTTCTACTCAGCACAATATCTGTCACTCCGCAATCAATCAACAACAGCACGTTCAACAGATCAGCACAGCCTGTCTAGTAGTTACATAGTGTGTTAGCTCTAAATTCAAAGAATCGGAACGCATCGAGCATTGTCAGCTGCAGTGTTTAACTGTAGGTACTGCTATCACGGTAGTTTTCGAAGAATATGTGAGGAAAACGGAACATCAGGAATTTAGACAGTAAGATTTATGAAGAACTCAACAAGAACACACCACCTTCAGTAATAAAGAAAACGAATATAATAACTTAATAACGATTGTATTTGGAACTCCCAATACACGCATTGAAGTAGCTTACGGGGTTAATGAAATATGTTAGTAAAGTTTTGAAGATTGCCTGTAAAGGTAGGTTCTTTACGAAAAAAATCTGCTATAGTAGCTGTTTATTTTGTAATGTAATGGCAAAATAGCAATTATTTCAACTAGGTACATAAGATGTTATAGTTTTTATCTTGAAAATAATTATGTTGTATCCACTCTATGTAAATATAGTGCGGAACCCTAAATGCCCGCATCAGGCACACTTGAGCACTAGACCAGCCCAAACAGATATGGAGCCGCAATACCTCCAAAATGCGTCGTCATTAGGGTTGATACTTTTGTAAGCAAACAAAATCCTCAATTTTTAGTGAAATGAAAGGTCAAGTGGCGTCACTGTATAGAATAAGGATTCTATCTACACTACACAATGTCACAGTGTCGCCACCTGTCCTATCAGTGTCGCAACTGACAGAACTTTACTGTGGCGCCAACTGGCTAGCGCAAATACGGTAGCCCTCATTGAGATGAGTTTTATGAGCTGTCCAAATGCATCTCGTTCGTTCGTTCGTTTCAGCCGAAAGACGTCCACGGCTGGACAAAGGCCTCCCCCAAGGATTTCCACAAAGACCGGTTCTGCGCCGCTCGCATCCAGGCACCTCCCGCGACCTTCACCAAATGCATCTGTTTCGATTTATTTAAATACTCACGTTTGAAAGTTGGTATTTGTAGTCCTTATTAAAAAAATTCATTTTTAATGAAGATCAGCATACATTTAGTAAAAATATCAAATTATTTGTTTACCGATTTCTATTTTTAGAAAGAAAAACGACGTAAAAAGGTGTATCTATACTTATAATAAATCTGTAGAGAGGTCAATTCTGTACATGAAATATATTTTCAAAATAACTATCAGGGGGTGATTAGTGATCGATACTGATGCCAAAAATGCAACCAGTAAAATTTTTGTCTGTCTGTCTGTATGTTCCTTATAGAAACAAAAACTACTCGACGGATTTTAACGAAACTTGGTACAATTATTCTTCATACACCTGGGCAGGTTATAGTATACTTAAAAATTTCCACGGAAACGGGGATTGCGGGAAAATCCCTTTGTGTGAAAAATCTAAACCGCTTAAGTTAGACGCTTGAAATTTGGCATGCAGTGCACCTTAGTAAACTTAAAGCTTAGTTAGCGGAAAAAATATAAACCTCGTAAGATAGATGAAGGGGGTAAAACGGGATCCACGCGTACGAAGTCGCGGGCGTCCGCTAGTTTTGAGTAAATATGTTGGACTATTGGACTGATGATTCGACTTTAGTAGAAAAAAATCTTTGACTATCTTAACGAATTTATTGACAACCCTACTGTTTCACATCACACATGTTAGTAAAGCTTACTGTCACCTTAACACATAGAGTTAAGACGCATTTTAGCTCGCACATCCCACAACCACAGACAAAATTCATCGTAGATCAAATTTGTGAGCGGATTGTGGAGGTTTTACCTAGCATTGCGTAATAAGCTACTTGGGTAGGATTTTGAAGCCTTCATATTGATGCTCTTGCTAAGCCTACAAACATTTGCTTCTGGCGGAAGCTCCTGGATGGTTCTAGCTCCTCAGTACCTAACCTTTGCAGCCGGGTATTAAAATAATTAAATAAAAACCTTTATTACCAAAAATTACAATATCTTACAGCTTACTAGTAGTCCCCAAACAATTTGATAGTTTAGCTTTGGACGGGACTTGGTTTTATATTAAGACTCCGTTGGATGTGATTCAAAGTAGGTCATGTCTTAGATGTCTAAATTTTAGCTTTGAACGTCAACTCAGGGAGTTGCATAAATCACCATGCCACCACCCTGTATAAAACCACCGATCTGGTGAAGGTCGCGGGAAGTGCCTGGACGCGGGCAGCGCTGGACCGGTCGTTGTTGAAGTCCTTGGGGGAGGACACCTAACCAATTTGAATAGGAGTCAAATCATCCGCGAATCAGATTTTGTCGGATGAAATGTCACCTAAGTCCCTTTGTCCAGCAGTGGACGTCATTTGGCCAAAACGAACGAACGTCTCAAACTCATACATCCGTAGGCCGTCCGGCGCGGCGCCATCGATCACATTAATGAGTTCTGCCAATAGCAGCCGTACCTTATGGGGGTTTGAAGTACCCATGGTCCGGAATCAATGGGAAAAGGGACAAGAGTCAAAGATAAGTTGGAGTAAATAGGTACTAGCTTTCCGCTCGCGCGTGGAATTTTGTCTGTCACAGAAAACCTTTGTCGCGCGCGTCCCTGTTTCAAAAACCGGGATAAAAACTATCCTATGTTCTTTCCCGAAACTCAAACCATCTCTATGCCAAATGTCCTCAAAATTGGTTCAGTGGTTTAGGCGTGAAAGCAAGACAGACAGACATAGCTATTTTCGCATTTATAATATTAGTATAGAAAATATTTAAATTTTCAAATACTCGAGTGTAATTTGGTAAAAGGCCTTCGACTGAAGCTTTAAATAATTCCCATCGTTTTTTCTGATGCAAACGTTTGTTTACTTGTTTACAAGATATAAAAGAGAGTGGCGGTCGGCGTAAGGCTGCACACGCCCTATGATTTACGTCTGACATTAAATCTGTGAGGAACGGCTGGATACGGGCAACACTGACACTGTGGACTTGGGCAATAATATTGCCATTAACTGAGTCAAGGACACACTAGCTAAAATCTTTCGATTAGATAACATTATCAGCATCGTTTCAGCCACAAGACGTCCACTGCTGAACATAGGCCTCCCCCAATGACTTCCACATCGCACGGTTGGTACTTAGTGGCCTGCATCCAGCGCCATCCTTCGATTAGTTAGTGGATGTCAAAACTCTGAAGTCAAAGTCAAAGTCAAAGTCAAAATTTCTTCATTTGTTTAGACAAATAAATAGTTCTTACAAATCGTCATTTTGCTCTTAAGGAGCCTCTACATGTCTCATAATCTTTTTACCCTACCAGCGTGCAGCGTTTCGAGCGCCGCAACAAACTTAGTCACCACTGTCTGCCGGTTAATATAATATAATATAACTGGTTTGACTAAGGTAATCATAGCCAATCACCAGAGCTAAAACTTATTACATGAACTTGGTAACGGATAAGCATACATAGGTACCTGTAAATTCTAGCGCTCGTCATCCTAACATCAACTTTTTTATCTACAACAGAGAAACTCTTGGCCTCTCACCCGATGAAAAGTGATGATCAGGCAAGATGGAAGTGAGCTTTACCCAGACTTTTCAACCACAGAAGAACAGATCTTACCTTCAAATGCTGCCAAAACACAAACCTGTCAGATTCAAACCACAATAACTGCAAAGCATACCACAGTTGTTGATTTAGTAGTCCATTTTGCTGATCACCAAGCCTTGATTGAGAAAAAATCTGAATTGGTTTTGGGTCAGATAC